ATACATACAGCTGCTTAAGCAAAGTGGAGAGGGCATAAGAGCATAGAGGGATTAAAAGATTGTGAGCTATAAGCAAAGTGGCATTGATGAGACCACTTCCAAGTGGGACACCCTTGCACAAATGTAATTGGATACATAAAGTGCAAGGAGATAATAAAGCAAGTAACCTATGTATTAATCTTAAAAGGTTTCCGGACTCCCAACTACGTTTGGTGAAATACAGTGTCCATCTCAGTTAAAGCAGCTTGCAGTAGTTTAGCCCCACCTTGTTGTATATATATAAAAAAGTCTGAATCAAAACCATGCTTGGGAATAATTCCAGGGCAAATCAGAAGGCTGCACAGAGCCTTTTTTTTTTTTTTTTTTTTTTTTTTTTTTTTTTTTTTTTTTTTTTTTCTTGTACACATCTTGAGCACACGGCAAAGGTGGCCAAACACTGCAGCCCAACAATGCAAAAGGGAGGAAGGGCGAGAGATGCTGTCCAGAGCTCTCCCAAGAGAGCACAGAAAGCCTAACGGTTAAAGCTGTGACAAGGCAGCAGACCCAGATGGTTTAATCCCTCCCTTTCCTATCACTGAAATTTGTTCAAGTGCAAGATCAGATGGAGTAGGACAGTGCTCTAAGTGTCCAAACAACAGGCTAAATAAGAGATTGAACTAAAGCAAAGCAACACAGGAACAGACGGCAGCTCTGGGGTTTTAAATGTCATGAGGTGGTGTACATACACATATTTTGCAGCCCTGTAGTAATGTCTTCTGTTAAGGCTGCAATGAAACTGAGTTCATTCTGCTGCATCATGGAGCTGATGCAGGCTCACTTCCACAAAGCCCAATGTTAGCACACTTGGGCTCTCTCAAATCAGAGACCTATATGTGAGCTGCTCTCATGTTCTGTATGCTTAGTTCAGCCGCTTGAAGTCTTGCCTTTATTTAAACATCCTGGAAGAGAACACCAACCAGCTGGACAATGTAGAGCTTTCCTTCCACTGTAAAGCTGCCAGAAGCTTCCGGCAGCTCAGCTCCGTGGGACAGACTGTGCAGCCAGCTGAAGATGTAAACAAACCAGAGCACACAGAGAGCCAGGAAAAAGCTCTCACAACTATCTACCCTGAAGCACTGATCTAAACAGCTCAAGCTCCCAATGTCTGAAACATCACAAGGGTCACGGGCCACAAAAAAGAGCTGTAACTGTAGGTACCTCAGGATAAATTAATTCCCCAGAGATAACAGAGGATCCAGTCATACTGCTACTGCTGAGAGGTTTGGCAGAGAGCTCAAAAGAGAGAGGAGAAAGTACCTTGGTTTCCAGGATCTCCTGCATTATTTCTTCTCCTGGGCATTACTGGCCAATCTGCAGTTCTGGAATCATTTTTCTTTCCTTGTATCTTCAAGTGCTGGGCCAAAGGGAAGAGCCACTTTAGTAGTGCTAAAGCCACAGACTTCCCTGTGTTAACACTTCTCCTCTATGTGTTTCACACAAGAGGGTGATGCCTTCTTCTGTAGCAGGAAACAAGCCACAGCAAAGGGCACGCTTGTCCTCAGATCTGAGCATAAATTAATCATCTTCCCCATATTTATGTGTAGTAATTAAAAAATAAAGCAGTAAGTGCAAGTTGCTACTGATTGAAATAGCTTCCTCTTTCCACCTGGTAGTTCCCACTGAAAATTGCCACTTGAAAAATAAAAAGGAGGAAGAGAGTTTTTCAGAGATTGTGTTTTTTCACAAATAGCTCCTTCCTAAGCCTGTACTTAGCCTGAAATTGTGTATGTTTTAGAAAGATAAACCAAGCAGTTGATTTAACAAATGCTGCTTTCACCCTGAATTACTCAGAAGCTCTGTGGAGGATGTATTAGCACCAAATAAGATGGTTCTAATCAGGGGTATAACAGCAAATACAGATTAGTATATAATGAATGCAAAATTAAGTGGTCATTTAAGCATCTTAGAAGATAATAGAACACGATTTCAAACTCTCTCTTTTCAGTGCCTACTGAATAAAGGTGTCCCTGAAGAAAGGTCTCCCTAATATGCATAATGAGTAAGTCAGAATTTAGGACACGTCTTGCTGAGTTTAAAAGTTTCAAGTAATATGATTTTCTAAAAGCTAATTTTCTATTTCCAGGTCTCGTTCCTGCCCTGTGGACTTTGTCCAGTTTGAGAAGATCAGCCTGCTCCCATGCAATGGCTTGCCAAAGCTCCCAGATTTCAGCACTGCTATTCTGCTTCTTCAAGCAACAGTTCAGGACAGGAGAGTTTATGGGGTAAGTCCAGACTACACTTTCACTCACATAGCTGCATTTGTAAAGCAACTCCACCAGAGATGGATTTCAATTTCCTTTTTGCAATATGGAGCAGAGTTTGGATTTCTACACAGAAAGCAGCTAGCAGCTTTCCTTCTGCACAGTTGTTTGATCTGGGGAACAATTTTCCTTGGTAACGTTTATTCCAGGATAAACCTAGAAGACAGGCAATGCTAGGAAAAGGAGAGGTGATACCAGACTGAAGCAGCTTGGATTTGCTATTTACACCATCCTTGCTGGGATTAAATACACTTCACATGTACAAAGCCTGGTAAAAAAGTTAATTATCTGGTAACTTTGGACTGTATGAAACTGAGCATACAATAAGAACGTTCTCCCACTCTGCTTTTGTGAACTCCCAGGGTTTTTAGTATAAGAATATTTTTGTACTTACCTGCAAACAGCTTTGCAGTTTATATAGATCCCATTTAAATTATGTGTAGTGCTCTCCAAAGAAAAACAATCTTAACATAAAATTATGAGAAGCTTCTTAAGTTTCTAACAGCAATGTTGCAAATTTGCTGGGCAAAATAATTTTAAAAATTATTCTAAATTACATTTCAGAGCTGGACTCCCAAAAGTGAGTGACTGACATGACAATTAGGAATAGTGTTTCTAAAAAAAACCCCCAAAAAAACGTTGAAAGAACACAACTGTTCACATCTGCAAATCTTTTTCAAATCAGCAGTTAAGTCATTGTAACCTACTGACTGATGCACTGAGGCATAAGAGATCACTGCTTTTAGTCCAGCTCCAAATGAAATGGTCACAAAAGATACCACAGTGTTTTTTGGATGTAGTCTCAAAGCAGACTTACATAATCACTCCAAATAAATGCATTGAAGACAGAGTTACCACTGATCCCTAAACCTGGCAGCACAACAGGACTGTACCTACCCTCTACAATTTCTCTTTCTTGTTCTAAATTAACCCAAAGTTGTCTTTTAAATCTTGCACCATATCCTGCATTTTCACATAGTAAATACTGATTTAAAACTTTCAGGCAAAACTTAAAAAGTTCTTGCTTTCATGGCTGCAGGACATCAATTAATGAAGAAAAGTAATTTAGTTCACTTGAGAACTGCAAGGATATGTTGCCAGTAGTGACAAGAACATGATGCAGATCAGCAGATAAATAATTCTCTAGAAAATTCATACTCTTCACCAATTTCACTAATAGCTTTTTTGCTATACCTTTATAACTTTGCTGCAGAGAAAAGAGATGTCATTACTTGCAAAGGTAGACATGGAATTAGGCAATGAAAATAATAGCTATAAAACAGATGAACTGGGCACCAAATGCTCCTCTGTTCCATGTAACTCACCAGTGTAGACAGTCCTTCTCTCCACAGAGGTAACTTAGGTAACTTCCATGTCTTAAACCAATTTCACGAATAGCTTTTTTGCTATACCTTTATAACTTTGCTGCAGAGAAAAGAGATGTCATTACTTGCAAAGGTAGACATGGAATTAGGCAATGAAAATAATAGCTATAAAACAGATGAACTGGGCACCAAATGCTCCTCTGTTCCATGTAACTCACCAGTGTAGACAGTCCTTCTCTCCACAGAGGTAACTTAGGTAACTTCCATGTCTTAAACTAGTGGAAGAAGAACTGAAAATCTTCCATTCTTCCATGGTCAAAACCTTAAAGCCTGCATGTGAACATTTTTCTTAACTGTCAAACTTTTATTATTGGGCTTTGTTGTCATGATATTCACCTATTTCTAGTTATCCAGTCTGTACTTCACCTTTTTGTAGTTCAACTGACATGAAAGAAGCTTCCATCAAGAAAATAATTTAAAAAAACAAAAATCAGTGTGGTATCACTTCTCTCACAATAAGGACCTATTCACATAAGTAAGGTTTTTAACTGTTTTTCTGCTTAAGCTAAATCCCACTTGGAGTACATTTCATCAGTAGCCTCACATTTCTAATACATCTAAATCTTGATCTATATTTCCTGCACTGCCTAAAGATTGCCAAAAAAGATTCTGCTCTCCTGTGATTGTTCTGCTGCCCACAAAACAACCTGGCTGGGCATTTTACTGTTTTATTACTCTTTGTACTCACAGCACATTTCCTTTGCCTATTACATACAAAACACAGCACGAAAATAGCTGAAAAATGAAATTATTTGTGTCTCAGTAATCACTTGTGCACAACGGACTTCTGTACCCAGATGACAAATGCCACTCTAGGTGATCATAATTAGTCAATTTTAGAACTAGAGTAAAAACACACTAGGAGCAAATTTCACTAAATACTGAAATAATGGGACCATATGCACTATCCATTACTTACACAATAAAAGAACATATCAGAAGAAACGTGTGGAGAGTATTCTCTCCAAGTTTACAGCTCAGCTTAAAGACAGAATATATACAAATTTTTCATTAGTTTCATTATTATAAAAAATGCTTTCCTCATGCTGCTTTTCTGAAGAACTCACAGGAAGGTAACAACAGCCTGCTGAGCATGCCATAACTTATTAGCCGTACTACTACTATGATAAACACAATATAACTCATACTGATTGAAAAGAATAAATCTGTTTTTTATTAGGAGATTAAAAACTAAATAGCAAAGGGAAAACAATATAACGACACTCAGGTTATGATTAATCCAGCCCACTCTTATGGGAACAAACTATATCAACCACAAAACTGGAAGCAAAAATTTTGGATTTTCTTGGATCCATCAGCTCAAGAGTTCACAAATAATTAAAGCATGAGAGTCTGAACAACTAATGTCATTCCATTTTCCAGAGTCTTGTATTACTACACAGTCTTCATTATTTGCATTATTTGGTTCTCCAGCTTTCCAGTTTGTGTAAGTTATAGCCCCTCCATTCAGATATATGAACGTGCTTTCAGTTTGTTCATCAGATATCCCCAGATATGCATTCTTTGAAGGTCTCATTAAGTCTTTCAAAGCTGTATTCTCAGCCTCATTCATAGGAGAAGCAAGGACACTTCCAGCTTGTGCACAAAGGGATTTTCCATTGTCAAAAGTATCTTCTTTTCCAGTTGAGACAAATATTTTTTTACCAATACTCTTTATGTTCTTCAAGATCAAAGCTAGAAACAGAAGTGAACATAATTGTATCATGCTATATTTACGTATCACAATTACACTTCAGAAGTAGCTAATAACCAGCTATAAACAGACTATTGCTGAAGCAGTAGGCAGAATCCAACAGAAGTCAACAAAAGTTAAGCAAAATAGACACAAAAATATCAAGCCCGAATTTCACAAGAAACTGGATCACTAGTCTTGTTCTAATGTTTTTTGCTTCCAGTTCATGTAGTATTACAGCTCTTAAGTCAGAATCTGATGGAATTCACACTCAAATTGCAAGCATGACAAAATGGCTTGCCAGGTTTCATTGCAAAAATCATAGATCAATTAAAATAATAAAAAGGAACTAAGCTGCCATTAGGAGATCTTCTGTACCTGTCAGCTTTATCACAAGCAACACAGCAGAAAGAGGAAATACAGAGACAGCTTTAGGGAGCCTGGGAAACCGAGTATTTCTCCAGAAAATATAAATTATCTGAAGAGAAGTAGGAATAACATCCGTGACAATCTTTCATGAAAAGTCCATGGAAAGCAAAGCTTTTGTCCATTTAGCAGATAAAATTGCTAGCAGCAATTCTTTTGAAACATGGTTGCTGTCTTTAATAGGCAAGTTGGTTTATGGTCTTTAACACATTTCTGTCTATCACCTTGTAAAAATGATACCAACCTGGGACATATGTACAGTTATAATTTCCCCTGGTGGGAATGGTACCAGCACAATCCTCTTGTGGGCAGGGAATCCTCATTACTCTCCTGTGCCAGGTAAAACCTCCATAGCAGTTTCAGACACCCTTTTTAGGTGCAATACTTGAGCACAGGAAGACAAAAGGGAGATGGCTGAAGAGATTGCTGCTACCAGCTGTTCAGCTTCTGTGCTCTTTTGCCCCAGTTACAAGCTTAGCACCACATATGACACAATCCCTTGGAAGGATGGCTTTATTTTGCTGGTGGTAGTGATGTGGTGAACTGCAGCCTATGTAATTTCCTCCCAAATTACTTCAAGAACAATGATAGACCTTGTGTTTTTCCTAATGTAGCATTTGTACCAGGGCTAGCAGTGCACTGATGAGACATTTTTTAAAAAAATTTTACACAGTATTGATTGACAATTACTTACTGCTGACCCAGGCAGACAGCATCCTAATCTATGTCTACTCAGAAAATTACCTAGAACTGAGGCAGTAAGAGAAATGCAACACAATGCTTTTAAGCACAAACATCCGGAAAACACGCCATGAAACAAAGCTCTTGCCCTGTATCTTGGCAAAGTCATTCTTAAAGTTTGGCAGGTCAGTTCAGGAAGGATGCGTTCAGTGAGACAGTGTTTAATCAATGACCATCTCCCATGAGCAACACAAGAAATATTTGAGTATTTGTTTGTACCTACTGTTTCAGTCCCTTCTCCAGCACAAGCACATTAATCTTGTTACCAGGCCAACAGAAAACAAATCAATGATTGGACGTTACCTGTTTTATATCTATTTAGTTCAGCCTCCAAAACCTGTACTTTTATTTCCAAAGCAGTTACTTGTCTCAGCAGGTCATCAGTTACTACACCTAGGAGTTAAGGGTATTATTTAGTAATTTATATTAAAATTACTACACAAGAACTGCCTCTGAGATGCTTAGCTCGCCTGTAACCTCTTGCCATGTGAGAGCTATTTTGTTTCCAGAGCAGAAACTACAGGCCACATGGCACATTTGTTCCATGGGAATTTGTCCAACTGTGAGAGCTTTATCCCTGACCAGGATGAATACTTGGGTGGGCTTTGAATTCTCAGGGCTGTCAAAGTCATCTTCTCTTCACAGGGAAAAGGCCAGTTTTCTAAGTCAAAACACACATGTAAACATTTTAAAATGAATCAAAGTTGACATAAAAAACACATGAACAAGCAAAGGATGAAATTTAAAAGATGCTGTTTATACTGTTAGATAGAGGGTTTGTTATTTTACTCACAGACAACAATAAACTAGTGACTCATTCCAGATACTTTTTCCCCCCAGATATGCTGGTCAACTCATCTCCAATTAACAGATAGTTTTTCTTCCTGCTCCTTACACTTCTGGAACTCACATCTTTCCTCAAATTATATTACAAGAATACTGGACATTGACACGGATATTTTTTTTAATTATGCTAAAAGGTTGCAAACTAGGTTATAGAAACATAACAAATTTCTTTCTTACTTCCACATTCTCCTTTTTCTCCTTTCTCTCCTTGTGGTCCTGAGTCTCCTTTTATTCCTGGAGGTCCCATTTTTCCAGGGGAACCATGTAGACCTCTCAGTCCTTCTCCTAGAGGTTGAATTAAAATGGTTTAAATGTTTTTTTCTAAGTCTTTCTCCCACTGTGTTTTCTTAGTGCTTAGAGAGAGTATACCCCCATAGACCCCCAGGAAAATAAAAACATCTCAGGAAAAATTAATTGTTCCTCTGGAAAGCTTAATTTTCCAGGAATTGAATTACTTTGATGAAAAAATCTTTACTACACCTAATAATGGCACTGAAAATTTAATGAAATAAATAGTGTCTCATGTCACTGCAGAAGTACACATGCTCTAAAACCAAAAAGCCAATATAATTCAGCCGTAATCCAATCACACATCATAGGATATGATCTAGCAAATGAGCTAAATAATAAGATTCAGTATACCTACCAGTCCAGCTGTTGAAACAACTAGTACTGGCTTTACTTATTTCACCATGAAGTTACAGAGGGCATACTGAGGGTGCATGGTCCACAAAATGTCTATTTAGAATATCAGTGTATGTCACTGAAATGTTTTGTGTTGGTTCATATGAAGTGGTATTGATAATGATGGGAGTTTGCTTGGAGGTTGAAAAGCAAATAGCTAGTTCCAAGGTGTGTGGTACAGACATGATAAAACAGACAGGATATGGTAAGTATGCAATTCCATATGTACTTATTGTTTGGACAGAAACTATGATTTGGCAACTTGGGAGAACAGGTGACTTGGTTCTACCACATGACAGAAAGCACTTGCTGATCTATTTGCTGTTTGCCGCAGTGCATGAAAAGTTACCTAACTGATAAATCATGCCTTGGGGGAATTCTGTTGTTGGGATGTAGTGAGTATGAAGAAATCAAGTTATGATCATCAGATTAGTGGCCAACCCTAGGCAAGCATGATTTCTGGTTTTGAGAGCTTGCCCCTGGAAAGAAAAAGCACTCATAATTTAGTAGCATATTGTAGGAAATTCAGAGAACAAATTGTACAATCAGATCAAAATCTTATTACATTTCTCTCTGTTTTGTGGGCTGCTGTGAAAATGTATTGTATGTTTTTTAATTATTCAAAGCAACGTATCTAGAATAGCATTATAAATGCAGAAAGCATTTTCAGCTTCTTGACATTGTGATGAGCCTACAAAAGGTTAATGGGGCAGAAGAAAGGAGAGATGTAAAAAAATGAAAAAATGAAAGAGGTAAGATAAGAAGTGTCAAAAATACAATATTGCTAAATGGTCATAGGTCTGTACCTGGTTCTCCCTTTTCACCTTTGGGACCATCTCTTCCATCTCTGCCTTGTAAGACATGGACTGCAGGAGCACTGTACTGAACTACTGTGCAGGAAGAAATTTTCTCTTCAGTCTTATCTGTGTTAATGGAACTTGTTACCATCAACAGTGACAGCCAAAACACCAAAGCATTGAAAGGAAGAAGTAGAGGCATTGTTAAGTCCACAGATCTGTGACAAATCAGACAGAGTAATTTAATAAATTTCTCTGTTTACATAATTTTAAAGGGTTGCCTAGAAGAAAGTTGCCTGTATTGCCTAGGAGATACACTCACATCTTCAGCCAAAAAAAACAACAACAGGGGTTTGAATAATTTAGTGTCTGAACCATTTAATCTAGCCTCTGATTGCATCTTCATGTATGGAAATCAGAAAAGAATAGCCAAGCTTATAAGAACCTAAACATCTCAAGGTGTAATGAGAAAACCAGATATAGCAACAGACAATCTGTGCTGCAAATCCATTGCAATGTTTTGTTCATTGTATGTCTAAATTTAAAGCATTTCTCTTCATCCCAAATGACTCATACAACATTACAGTTTGGGATGAATCCTGAACTCTTCAGCTATTGTATTGCTGCTGGGACTCTTTTTCCACAGCAATCAAGATTGCTGTATGTCTAAGCTTGGAGAAATTAAGCTGTTTTTCTTGATAGTTTCTCCTCTACTAGCAAACACTGATGGCTTAAAGGCCAAAAAGCTTAAATGCATTCAAGTAGTAACAATCTGATCGCCTCCCAATCTCTCCTTTCAGACCTTTTATGCTAATAAAATAAGTTTCTTCCTCAGTATTACACCTCAGAGCTGATGTCCTCTTGGATCCTAGATCTGCAATAGTTTGTTGCCCCTTCTGAGCAGAACAGTAACAGGCAGTAATATCATAAAGTTAAGATCTGCATGATGTTCTGACAAGTTGCATTACAGTAACTGTCCTTGATTTTAATGAGGGTCAAATTTGAGGCAATCATGTCCCATGTATTCTACATTTAACTGAAAAACATGAAATTAAATTACCACAAACATGAGCTGAGGAGCTTTTAAATTAAATAAGTCATATACCATTGTCAGCTGCCCTTATTTTCTCCCAGTTCTACCAGTTTGTGGAGAATGGCCCCATCAGTTTGCAACAGTTAAAACAGAAAACAAGTCTAAGGAAGCACCATTTGGTTGGCAGATTGGGGTAAGAAGAGAAAATAAAATCCAGCATACATTTTGCTAGTCATCTCAATTACTTCTCTTAATTTTAAGCTTCAGAAAAGATTACCCAGAGAGAGCAGCTTTCCTTGTCACATTTCATCTGAAAAAGTACAATCTAATGTATAATCACTAGCATATTACCATGAGAACATTATTCTTAACATAAAAAGCAGAGTTTAAGATGCACCGCTTTTGTATATACTTCTTTGTGCTTCCTCCATTAGGCTTACATCAAAATCTGGGTCAATGGCATGCACCAAAATAAAATAGGGAAAGGTATTTAGCTAACTAGTATAACAAAACTCGAATCCTGGTTTATATTTCTTATGTGGTTTCATGGACTCAAGCCAGTTCTTAACAGCCCTCTAAGGATTTCCTTCTGCTGGATTTTTATACTATGTTATTTATCCAATACCAGGGAAGTTGACATTGCTGCTGTCTCTCATGAAGGCAGGAAGACAAAACTCAGAATTATGGCACAAGAAAAGAAAACTTGAAAACAAAATGTTAAGCTCTCAGACAAGTCCTCTCTGCAGAGATTCAACCTTGTAGAAACCTTTGTTATTATTTCCTGCCAGGAGCTAGTATCTGTTTACCTTCAAAGTTTTCCAAGTTGACCACCCCAGTTCTTTACTCTAGGAGAGCTAAAGCGCCTATTCACCTTTGGCAAACCAGTGGCAAAGTTTCCTAGAAGTGAAATCGCTTCCCAAAGACACTAATGATAATTTGCACCAACATTGGTTTGTTCCAAATTTATCATAAAATGGAATTTTAGAGAGCTGAAATTGAAAAAACAAGTTTCACAATCCATAGATGAAAGTGTGGGTGTAATAACAGTCCTCAGGTCCTAAGGCTTACACAGTTGCATATTTTTTCATTAGAGACCGGAATTAGGCCTTTTAAGGTGCTGTGAAACTTTTATGTTTACGAAGCACTTAGTTCTGGAGCTCCCATTTAAAGACATACATAGGTCTCGGGCAATTCTTTTGTTCCTCCATGAAACATACTTTAGGACATGATTCACCCAATGCAAGTAACAGCAGGGAAAGGATCCTAGAAGAGGCAGCAGGGAGTCCTTGTTCCAGATCTAGTCTTGGAGGTGATGGCTTGAGTCATTAGCCCAAAACTGAAAAGTCTGACAGCACGGGACAGCCCTTTTGCAGTAAAATACTAGGAAAACTGCTCCTCAAAATCAGATATTACATTTATACAGAGAATACTCAGGGACACAATGCTATTAAACTGACAGATTACATCCTACTAACACAGTCCTCCTTATCAGCTTGCCATGCTCTAGTAGGGCAGCCTACAAAAGTCCCTTCTAACCACCATGTCTGCAGCTGCAAGGGTTGCTTGGCCTCAGTATGGTCAAATCACAGCAAAAGAGATCTTTACTTACCAACACCTTTACTTGGATCAGTACACAGTGAACTCTTTATCACACCACTGCCTTCCCTGACAGCCAGGACAACAGAACGTAGCAGAGAAGAAATGGAACAGAAACCAGCTGGATTTTACCAAGAGGATGAACCTGGCAAGAGAAAAAAAACGTAACAAAACCAACACTAAATTTCTACTAAAAGCTGTAATTTTGCGCTTTATTTTGGGCAGAGGTTGCTTACTGGCTTATCTCTGTCTTGCACAATCCTAATGATTGCCTACCTCAATCTCACCACCCCTATTTACAGGTACCACATGTCACATTCTGGTAATGAGTCCTTTGCTCTTTGCCTGGCCTTGGACAGACATTGGCTGTGTTACAGTACAAATGAACAACCAAAAACTCAGAATGACTGCAGGCACTGGAAGTTTTGACTCTAAGGTTTTTCCCCTTTATTCAGTCAATTGATTACTTTTTGAATAACCTAGGAGAGGGAAGGATATTTGAGGCTTACTTAACTGCAGGGACTGCCTTTCCCACAACATATTCTGAATTATCCCTAGAAAAAATTTGGCCAACTCAAACATATCCATTTATGTTTAAAAATGAGATGCAGAATTTGGAAAAACAACATAGGGTGAAGGAATGTATCTTTAAACTTTTAAGTAAATAGCTTACTACTTGTCTTCCTATAATGCTAGTGATACAGTTTGTGATTCTCAACAGAGCTTGCACTGTCCAGCTGGCTATGGTATCAGCATGTGGACATGAAAAGTACAATAGCAAGAAGAGTATGTGGGATATTGCCATAGGTCTCTCTGCAAAAGTAATAAAATATAATGCTCAAGAAGAGAAGTCATGGGCAATTCTGCTTGCAGAAAATGTCCTTACCAAGAGTTAGGTCTGCTAGACATCTCCAGCTGCCAACATCCAATTCATAATCTCTGTCCCATTTCTGGGGCGTTTGTTCTCTGATGTGCTAGCATCAGGTAGAGATGTGGGCTGTCAGGCTGTGTTTGTATCTTTCCTGTTCCAGAGTTAGAATACATTTAGTCTGAGTAAAAGTGAAATTAATACATCAGTTCAGAGATGTGCTATTTGTCAGCCATGATTTGATAAAAACACTGTAGAGCCAGTATCATTAAACAAAGATTTGGAATTAGAGATCTGTTTTTTTTTTCAAATAAAAGCTGAAATTTCCACACTGACCTTTGCTATTTTGGCCAAGAACCAAATGTGGTGTCCCTGTGATGTCAACACATGGCATCCAGGGCTCATCTTGTACCCTTGTAACCCACAGAAATGTCTGGTTTGTTGAATGTCTGTTGAACTTCCCTGAAGGCTGCTTGCCTGCAAATGCAGAAGTATGAAGCAGATAGGATTCTCAGCAATCTCCCCCCCAGCTTCTTGCCAGGTGAGGACACCATCCCACTGAAACATAGTTAATCTAGCCACAGAAATTTTACTAAGCTGTGACAAACCCAGCATGTTTATATATGGTATCCAAACCTACAGGGCTGCTATAAATTCCCGCATCAAGTGACAAATAAAAATTATAAAAGCAGGTGGCTCAGTATCCACAAGTTTTCAATGTCTTTCTTCACTGGATTTGCAATTCATTTTCTATCTCCTTATTCTATACAGCCTTCCCTTCCTCCAGAATTATTTGGTTTTCCTGATTCCCAGTTTGAGTACCAACTTTCTCACTATTTAGATTTTTGAATGGTTCTTTCTGCATATCATTCCTTTGGGGAAAAGGTGTTATGTCTGCCTACTTTGGTATATGGTGCAGATTTCCTTGGAGAAGCAAGCAGCTCAGCACATGCCAACATTTGGCTTTTGAAGTTTCAAACTTGTCTTTGGAGTCATCAGTTTTGAGTATTCTTCAGCAGCAGCAATATCATATGGGAATAACAGAACTGGGAACAATATCCAATTATTTTCATCACAGTGTAGCAGGATGACAGCTTCTAGACACTTGCAACAGAATATATGGCTAAAGTAGTGGATAGAAATGCACAGTTAGCTCACTGATTCACTTTGATGTCAGACCTACAGAGTGCTCTTATCCCCACAACAGGAGTTTACAAAGTATTTTAAACTTTTCAACGAGACAACTAGAATTAGGATTAAAGACTTTGGAAGAGCAAAACCCTAGGAATAACCTCGTTTTGGAAAAACCTTAGACCAGGCATTATGGAACACCATTCTTAACAGGTGTTTGTACAGGGAGTTAAATTAGAGCTCTTAGAAAGATATAAAGTGGAAGGTGTCTTGTACAGGATCTTTTTCTTCTGAATTAGTGATTTATCACTTGACTGTATAACCTATCATGCATCCACAGCATCTCATCTGTTTCTTCTCTCTTGTCAACCTGCCACAGAGACTGTGCAGATGAACAGTTGCTTCCTGTTTAGGGCTAGTACCCTGAGTCAACTCTCATTAATGATAAAATCTATGGGTGTCCTGTGTCCACTCTGTATATTAAGAGCAAGGTAAAGCATCAACTGCTTTTGAGAGAGAAGGGAATTTATATAGCAGGACACTAGGAACAATGCTGTACTAATAATACTGGTCA